TAAATAAATATAAATAAATATAAATAAATATAAATAAATATAAATAAATATAAATAAATATAAATAAATAAATAATAAATAAATATAAGTAAATATAAATATATATAATGTATATATGAATATATAAAGAAAAAAAATAAATAAATAAAAATAAATATATAAATAAATAAATAAATAAATAAATAAATAAATAAATAAGAGGGGAAAGGGGACAAATAAAGAAAAAAAAGGAAAAAGGGCAAAAAAAATAACACACTAGGCAACAAAAAAGAGACAAAAAAGAGACAAAAAAAGAGACAAAAAGGAGACAATAAAAGGAGACAATAAAAGGAGACAAAAGGAGACAAAAAAAGGAGACAAAAGGAGACAAAAGGAGACAAAAAAAGGAGACAATTTATATTTATTTGCTAAGAAGGAGTAAACCCTTTCTCTTATATATCTATTAAGACAAACCCTAAACCCTAAACCCTAAACCCTAAACCCTAAACCCTAATATTGTATCTGTCTTATAACTTTGATGGCTAACTAAGAGAAGAATAAACCCTAAAACCCTAACTAGCTAGCTAATTAATTAATTAATTAATTAATTAATTAATTAATTATATTAATTAATTAATTAATTATATTAATATTATTAATATTAATAAAAGGAGACAAATAAATAAATAAATAATAATGGAGACACCTAACATAAATAAATAAATAAATAAAAGTCTTCTTTTTTTTTATTTATTTAATAAAATATAATTAAGGTGTATATACACCTAAAAAGGAGACACCTATAAGGTGCCTATACACCTCGGTCTACTGCTGCAGCAGCAGCAGCAGAATAATCCTGCTGCTGCTGCTGCATGCTGCATGCTGCTGCAGCAGCAAATGCTGCGCAAACTTATTCATCATAAAGTCTATCTGCTGCTGCTATTGCTGCTGCGTTTGCTGCTTCTGCTACTGCAGCAGCAGCTGCAACTGCTGCTGCATCTGCATCTGCTGCTGCTATAGAGGCAGCAGCAGCAGCAGCAGCAGCAGCAGCAGCAGCAAAAGAAAGTAGTAGGAGGAGAGCCTTAACGACGTCCTCTTCCTCTTCCTCTTCCTCTGCTGCTTCTGCTGCTGCTGCCCATAGCAAAACAGTTTGCTGCTGCTGCTCCTCCTGGCTGTGCTGCTGCTGCTGCTGCTGGTGCTGCAGGGCCAAATCCAGGTATTAAACCTCCAGGCAAACATCCCTGCTGCTGCTGCTGCTGCTGCTGCTGCAGTTGCTGCGGTTGCTGCGGCATGCCGAATCCAAAGACAGGTTGCTGCTGCTGCTGCTGCTGCCCGAACGCAAACGGATTCTGCTGCTGCTGCTGCTGCTGCTGCTGCCCAAACATAAACTGTTGCTGCTGCTGCGGCTGCTGCTGCTGCTGCTGCTGCTGCTGCGGCCGCTGCTGCCCAAACATAAACTGCTGCTGCTGCTGCTGCTGTTGCTGTTGCTGCTGCTGCTGCATCGGTTGAGGGCTTTGAGACAATGCCGCGAATAACGGTTTCTGCTGCTGCTGCTGCTGTTGCTGCTGCTGCTGCTGTTGCTGCTGCTGCTGCTGCTGTTGTTGTTGCTGCTGCTGTGGGTTCTTGTTGCGCACAATGCGCAGCACTGGTCTGTTGCCTCTCGCCGGAGTTTCTGCTGCGGCCCCTGCTGCTGCTGCTGCTGCTGCTGCTGCTGGTCCTGCTGCTGCTGCTGCACTTGCAGCAGGAGCTGCAGGAGGAGAACCAGCTGGTGCAAAAGTAGGAGCAGCAGCAGCTGTTGCAGCAGCAGCAGGAGCACCAGTAGCAGGAGCAGCAACAGCCCCCGGAAGGGTAAACAGCGGCTTTGCTGCTGTTGCTGCTGCTGCGCCTGCTGCTGCTCCTGCTGGCGTTGCTGTTGCTGCTGCTGCAGGTGAAGCAGCAGCAGCCGGCAGACGCCCAAATAGAGGCTGCTGCTGCTGCTGCTGCTGCTGCTGCTGCTGTGGCTGCTGCTGCTGCTGTTGTGGCTGCTGCTGCTGCTGTTGTGGCTGCTGTTTGTCGTCCCCCTGTTTCTGTTGCGTTTGTTGCTGTTCTTGTTGTTTTTTCCTTTGCTCTTCTTGCTGCTGTTGCTGCTGTTGCTGCTGTTGCAGCAGCAGCTGTTGCTGCCTTTGCTGCTCCTGCTGCTGCTTCCTTTTCTTTTCTTCTTCTTCCTTAATTTTTCTTTGTCTTTCTGCTGCTTCCTGTCTTTCCCTTTCTTCTTTTTCTTTTCTTTCTTTTTCCTGCTGCTGCTGCTGCAGCAGCAGCAACATCTGCTGCTGCTGCTGCTGCTGCTGCTGCCTTAATGCCTTTGTCTCCTCTATAGATAAGGCAGGTAAACATAAGGAAGGAAGCAACTCGTTCCCCTTATCAGGAGACAAACAAATTAATCTTCTTGCTGCTGCTGCTGCTGCAGCAAATGGTGTCCCTCCGTAGCTGCGGCGTCTCTGTCTCTTTGCAGGAGACAGCTCACTAGGGCTGCTGCTGCTGCTGCTGTTGCTGCTGTTGCTGCTGTTGCTGCTCTGCGAACCACCACCACCAGCAGAACCAGTAAACGATCCTCTTCCTGCTGCTGCTGCTGCTGCTGCTGAGTCTTCTGTGTCTCTGCGGCGCTTCCTGTTCGCACCAGAGGAAGGAGATGCAGCAGCAGCTGCAGCAGCAGCAGCAGCTGCTGCTGCTGCTGCTGCTGCCGCTGCTGCACCTACTGCCCTGTCCGGGGTGCGCGAGGTATCTCCGCCAACAGCACCAGCAGCAGCACTAGCAGCTGCAGCAGCTGCGGTCCCCTCAACAGTCGGTGCATTGCTGCTGCTGCTGCTGTCGCTGCTGCTGCTGCCGCTGTTGCTGCATGCAGAGGACTCGTCTGTGGACCCACTGCTGCCCTGTCCCTCACCAGCCTTGGCCAAGGTGACATCCTGCTGCTGCTGCTGCTGCTGCTGCTGCTTTTGCTGCTGTGACGACTTTCGCTGCAGCAGCAGCAAATTGCGTGGGCCTGATATAGGGAAGGACAGACCAGCAGCAGCGTCGTGCTGCTGCTGCTGCTGCTGCTGCTGTTGCTGTTGCTGCAGAGGCACTGCAACAGGAGACAGTGAAGCAGAAGCCATCGGTGGCGCACTGCTGCTGCTGCTGCTGTTGCTGCTGCTGCTGCTGTCTAGATCAGGAGGATCCCATAGAACACAGGGCATCTCCTCGTCTGCTGCTGTGTCTTGACTGTCCTCTGCTGCTGCTGCTGCTGCTGCTGGTGTAGCTGTTGCTGCTGCCGCTCCTCCTGGCATTGTTGTTGCTGCTGCTGCCGCTGCAGCAGCAGCAGCAACAGCACCTGCATGCAGAGGAGGGCGTAGAGGAGAAGACTGTGGGGTAACAAATAACTGGGAGGTGTCGGGTGTACGTACACCTGGTGCAGCAGCAGCAGCAGCAGCAGATCTATAGAGAGACGTATCCATGCGTCTCCTCTTTGACGTTTCTCCTTCTGCTGCTGCTGTTGCTGCTGTTGCTGCTGCTGCTGTAGATGCAGAAGCAGCAGCAGCAGCAGAAGGTACACATACTGGTGTGCTGCGCCACTGCAGCAAACCCATAGGACTCGTAGAAGAACGGCGCAGGCGCGGCCGTTCTGCTGCTGCTGCTGCTGCTGCTGCTGTTGCTGCAGCAGCAGCAGCTGCTGCTGCAGGGGAAGGCAGCACAGAAGACTGTGACCAGCAGCCACGAGGGGAACAATCCG